AACGGTAAAAGGGTTTGTAATACATACCAGCTGACAAATGGATTTCGTGTACAAGTAAAGGTAAGACCATAAACTTTTATTATTTCTAGTTAGAAATAAGCTCAATTAGAATAAATTTTAACCTCAAATTAAATATGGGGCACGTTTGTGTGAAGAATGCTGATATGAGATAAAAACATAACGCATTGTCTGTTAACAGACAATTTGTTAACGGTTCATTTGTATTTGTAAATCTGATTGTAAAAGAGTCAGTGCCTCACCAGCTGTCAACCTCGCCGCACGTCACTGGGCCTTATATAATGTTACAAAGGAAGATATCTAGCATCTGCTAATTTTTATGGGTCACAGAATTCTAACCCTTTTCAGTCTTCTTTCAGGGGCTGTCACTTTACTGAAACTGCACAGATTAAAGTGGTGAGTGATCTTCTGCTTACCATGAATTCACTTTCCACTTTTTTCTTACCAATCTTGGTGTAGCTTTTGACACCACAGATCATTGCATGCTCCTAGATCAAGTGGAAATCTGCCATCTCTAGGCTGGATGTTGCTAAGTTAAAGGTTATATGAAAGCACAGTGCATTTACCTATAATAACCTAAATCAGTATCTTCTTATATGAAATGTGGAATTCCCCAGGGAAGCTTCTTTGCCTTCTGCTTTGCTCTCCATATATTGTATCTATTGGCCAAAAAATATGCAGTCATGAAATTAAATTCCATGATTTTGTTCTTAAAGTTTCTCTTTAAAACACTTTGGGCCTCATGCAAGAACATGTTTGTATTCTTGTTCTTAAAAATAAATCCCACTTTCTTTTTCTTGTGTTTTTAGACACTACAGTAACATAGATACAATCTCTGGGTTGTTAACTGGAATAAAACAAGAAGTTGAGGGTGAGGGTGTTCTTTGTATAAAATGTGTAACTATAATACAGAAATAAAATGCAATCTATTTTGTTTCAGAAGAAGACTACATTTTTTATGAAAAATGAGACAAATACATAGACGAATACACACACACATCCACACACTAATGAAAATGTTTAGGTCAACAGCCCCTTGATCCAGGTCTTAAAGAGCCAGCTCTTTATAATTGTTGAAAATCCTTGAACCAAATTCTCCTCTCTAAAAAAACAATATCAGTTTTAACAGAAATGGATATGGCTGGAGATGACTGACAGCATTACACATTATTCATTATATCCATTTTAAAGAAATTTCACTAAGACAAAAAGAAACTATGTAGGACTAGCTCTACCCAATGACACGCATGCATGCAATTTTTGTGATGAACTATTTCTTTAAGACCTGAAATGTCAGAGGTAAACAGATGTCCCCAGTTGTCACAGCAACCACCACTAGCCATTGGTCAGAGGTGGTAACCATGGTAAAAATACAAACCACTGAGATGATGTCATCAGGGTAGGTGGATTATTATAACAACGAGTAAGCCGCCATGCTCCATTCATCACACTTGCATACTGCAACACCCAATTGGCACTAAGGCTTGGGACCAGACTAGAGTGCTCCCCATTGTGGCTTATTTTCCTGAGCAGGGCTGCACACGAACACAGCCGCAGCTCCAACAGTGACTAATTACCACCTGATTACTTTATCAGGTGTTTAGCCAGTGTACTCTGATCATTACTTCAGTGCCCTGAGCGAGGGAAGTTCTGAGTCCACTCGCCACTGTAAATCAAAGCACAAAGTATTTGCAGAAATTTTACTCTTTCAAAGCTTTGAATGTGGAGAAATGAGCTGTGTGAATGGGGAGAGGGACACTATGCTAGGCAGCAGGTTAGTAGTGTGAATGGTACATGGCAGTGCAGGTTGGCTAGCATTGTTATATTGATCCACCCACCTTAATGGGGATCCTTTTGGTGTGGCAATGCCGTAGCCTTTGGAGTCCAGGTTTCCTCCCACTTTCATGGTGTCACAGGGTTTCCTCTGCTCTATGTACTCGTTCATGGTGGACTCCAGCAGGTAGGCATACTTCCCTTTTGATTTCCTGACACGAAGAACACCCTCTGACGTTTTCTTGACAAAGACGGAAGGTTCTGCTGATTTCATGTACTGCCACATCTTGTCAAATAAGGCAATTTTAGACCGCTAAAAAAAAGAGAAACAGACACAAATTTGACACTACTATACAGTAATACCCATAACTAGAAAGTGTATCAATGTATACTGTGAGGTTTTCTTGTAAACAGCTGTGTACCACTGAGGCCTAATAAACATGGTAGATCCATCTCTTTGTAAAACATTTACAGACAACTCCTAAAATAATTTAAAACTTGTTTTATTTTTTATTTATAGTATTGTTGTGGCCTTCTATGGCTTGTTAAAACCACTAATAGCTGATCATTGTGAAATCAGCAGTATATTTTAGCAATACTGCAATTGTGCTTTAATATGCTGTTTCCCCCCTTTCTTCTATATTATTCACTGTAAACAAGCTATACTGTAAATGACAGTAGAAAGCCCAAACCAACACCCTCATACAGTATGTGCACCAGTGGCGCTCAGGGTTGGGTTACTGCGGGTCACTTTGCTTTATATTAAATTATGCTTCTATTTTTTGCTTTCCTCTCTAATTATCTGGCTATAGGCTAGATAGTGCATGTGAACAGAATTCAAACTGTACAGCAGTAAATATAGAACGAGTATTTTTTTTCTTCCTTCATTCATAAAATTCTGCAGATCTGAGCTTATCACAGACTTGGAATAATAATTTAGATTTTTTCATGATACCAGAGCAGAAAACTAAACTGTACAACATCAGCCTGTTAATTAAACACAAACTGCTTACTTCTGATTATGTCTTATGCTGTGAAACTTGACTGGTGTTTGTACTAGACTCACTGGGAGCTGTGGTCATGAATTCTCTCATCTGCACAGTTACTCCTGCTTGATGCACTGAACTATTTGAAGAATTTAATATTTTTTAACCTCTTTTCTCTGCCACACCCTTACATTTGCTTTACACTGTGTTATCCATGTAAAATGAGTCAACAATAGTTTAGCCATGAACCAGAAGTCCACAACTACGGTTCAGGGCTGTAGATCTGGGCGGGTAAGACTGTATTTGAAAAAGTTACAGCTAAAAGATTTTGGATGCTACAAGAAGTAAAACCAGAATTAACACTGGTGTGGTTGTTGAATGATGGTGATGACTAAGAGAACAAAAAGGGCTGAAAAGTGACACTATGGTGGCTGGATTTCTGCTGGACAGGTATTTATCACTTTTGTTTAGTTTGGGGGCATTTCTTATTTTCCTGAAATCAGTAGTAGTCAGGCAGTGCATGTTGCAGTGCACATTGTGTTTTGGAGGAGTGGCTTTGGAGAGAAGTCAGAACAAAAGGATGGGATTTCTTTGGTTGGCTACTTTCAAACTGGAGCGTCCTCTTGCTGGTTTTTCTAGGATTGCCAACCCTACCTTTAATGGATACAGCAAACTAGCAATTTTTACAAATCAGAAACAATAATGATCACCTTTATTTGGCCAAGTATGTTACACACAGTAAATCCAAACAAAAGTCCAAACAACCAAAAAGAATGATATATATATTGATATTAGAGATGCCTCGATCTGATACTAAGTATTGTAGCACTGATCTGGGCATATTTAACAAGACTGTATCGATCAAAACAGAGCCGAGCCAATTCCAATCCTTATTTAGAACTACAGTCCTGTATTTGAGTGGAGTCAGTCCCATTTTTGAGGCCACATCTCATGCACCCACATAAACTGCTATTTTAATCAGTCCAGCTGTCTTCACTACCCAATACCACTGGCACTTTATGCCAGCAACAAGCCTATTTTTAGCTTCAAGTCTGTTTTTTCAGAGCTACATGCATAAAACACTCCACAGAATCCATTAAAACAATGAAAGCCCACTAGTTCCAACCACAACTCCACCAAAATAGACATATACTGTATCAAGCAAAACAGTTTAAATACATGCAGTTCTTTTTTAAAAGTGTGGGTTGGATACAGATACTGTATATATACCTGCAATTGTAGCCAGTAATTGCCATTAATTATTTGTCAAAGTTTTGGACCATAGATTTCTCTTCTCCAAAGTGTTTCTGTAGGCTCCTCTGTGTATTTTGGTTCACCAAATGCTTCCTAAGCGTAAGTGAACACACAGCATAAAATGGGAATCGGTATCAGCAGATATTTAAGATATCTAATTTTAGAGGAATTGAAACAGTATCAGGGCCAAAACCCTGCCCCCAAAAACCTGGATTGAGACATCCTTAGTAGATATGCTTGCTTTTTAGCCATGCATACACATAGACCAGTGGTTCCCAAATGGTGTACCAGTCCAAGTGTGCCAGGTATGGATTTTGTGTCAACCATAAATTAGTATTGATTTATACAAAAATACAAAAAGTTATGAATGAATTTTTAATTTACTATAACAATACTTTGCATGCACATGTTTCCCAATTCAGAAGGGACAGTCCTATAGCCTAAAAAAAACACCTCAAGAAAAGAGAAAAAGAACTGTCACCAGACAGTATCATGAAAGATGCCTGTCTTATGGCTTCAGCTTGACTGCAGATGTCAGCAGCCTTCAGCCCGAGTGCATCATCTGTCGGGAGAAGTTAGCTAATGCCAATGTGGTGCCAAGCAAGTTGAAGAGGCACTTGGAAACCAAACATACCATCTACGTTGAGAGAAATGTGGCCTAAGGGCACAGAATCTGCAGCAAATGCAGCATGACTGTTTGTGGGATTATGTGAAATTGATAAAGTGAGGAAGGAATACTAGATGCTGGTGGAGCTTATTGCAAAGTGTAAGAAACCTCACATGGTAGCGTCGCAGAGACATTCATCCTCCCCACTTGTAAAAACAATTGCAGGTGTCATGCTTAGTCCAGATGCCATAAATGCTCTCTCTTCAATAACACCTTGGATGGTAACTGTCAGGTCTGCTCAGCACGACCTGCCTCTCTTCTGCCTTTCTCTCTCCTGCTTGTTCTTTTTGTGGGATCAGCGCCCCAACCGTGTCGCTTTCTGTAATTAGTGACTTGTGGGTTGTCGCGCACAGCTGGGGCGCATTACTGTAATACCTGCTCTCCTTATTTAAACCTGGCAGATGCCCCGTCCTAACCGGAGCATTGACTTAAACTATGTTAGACACGGACATGTTGAGGAAGTTTTGACAGTTTGAGTGAACGGCGAGGTTTTTGTTTTTTCTTGTTTTGTGTTAGATAGGGCCACACATGTTGGCGAACTTTCCTAAGCTATGTGAATCTGATGGTGATTTTCCCAACCGTGGATACTGGACGGCTAGCGCTTCAGCACGCGCTACACCAGTCCTGTCTTCTCGTTCCTGTGTCCCTCCTGTCATCTCACCTGTCTCCTGTTTTCTGCAATCCTCCTACTTATCTGCTCGTCCTATTCTCCGCAGCCATCCCTGCCCTACCCTGGTTATTGTGCTATACAGTGGGTACGGAAAGTATTCAGACCCCCTTAAATTTTTCACTCTTTGTTATATTGCAGCCATATGCTAAAATCATTTAAGTTCATTTTTTTCCTCATTAATGTACACACAGCACCCCATATTGACAGACAAACACAGAATTTTTGACATTTTTGCAGATTTATTAAAAAAGAAAAACTGAAATATCACATGGTCATAAGTATTCAGACCCTTTGCTGTGACACTCATATATTTAACTTAGGTGCTGTCCATTTCTTCTGATCATCCCTGAGATGGTTCTACACCTTCATTTGAGTCCAG